TTATCAATTAAATTAATTTTTCAATGTTTTTCTTACACATACATTTTTTTTTTAACTTAACATTGTTTGATTTGTTTGTTTTATTAGTCCAAATCGATAAAATTTTGAAGGAAACATCTTCTATTTTATTTATTTAAGTTTATGTTTGTAATATATTCCTTTTATGTCAAAAATAACCAAAAATCAGAAAATAATCCATATCAATTTAAATACAATGGATATGAATAATGAATGGATTCCTTCCATTTTTTTAAAATGATAATTGGTCGTAATAATCATTAAAAGATTTCTAAAATATGAAGAAATAAAATACAAATATTGATAAAGAATAAATAAAATTTACCACATTATACCCAACTTCATAGTGAGACCCTCTGACATAGAGAACAGGAAGAGAACTTTGTCTTACTTCAGGATTATTCATGTTGGAAAATGACTGATCTAAATCAAGAAAAATTAAAAATCATTAAGGCCAAGGAAAGAACTACAGTTTATTAGATTCCTTATTATTTTTTAAAAAAATATTATAGTAAGTTTAATGACTAATATTTAAATAGATAATTAAACATTTTACCAATTATCAGGGCTGTGTTTCATTGTTATATTGTTGTTGTATGTTAACTGTTTCATTAAAAAGAAAGAATAATGCAATACAGACTGAATGAGTAATTTTGAATAATTTCAGATTGATATGGCACTTAAACATGCAAAATACCATTTAACTGTTAAGTTTTAACATACTATAGATCTTAAGTTATTAAATTATTAATATGGCCATGAATAGAGACCATATTATTGTATAAATGCAACTGTTTTTGCAAGCATCATATTTAGTCAAATCAGGACAGAAATTCAAATCATGAAGAAGAACTATTTACATTAGTTTTATCTTTTTTTTTATATTTAAGGCAATAATACTTCCAATTTTCTTCAAATTTTTTTAATTACATTTATTGTCTCTTACGTTTCGGGACAATTTTCCCATCATCAGAGCAATCTTTATCTTCACTTTCTTTTTTTGATGTGGTACCATTTGTCAAAAATCAAATATTTCTCACATTTTTTAAAACTATTTTTTGGTGTTACACATCTTTACATATTCATTGATACACTAATCAACATCTGGCTATCTTTAGTTTTTGAAGAAAATTGGAAGTATTATTGCCTTAAATATAAACAAATTATAAACGTAGGCTTCCTAATAAAAAAAGAAAAATTAGTTTTATCTTGTATGATGAATTTATAGTATTATGTAGAATACATATATAGATTTATTTTAATGGATGAATTAGCACAGTTTGAAGACTTTGTCCACAAAATTTTAGATTTCTAAATATAAAAATAAAAACATTATTTACAAATTTATCTGTGAATCATGAAAAAATCAAAGAAATTATTATAACTTCACAAAACTGATGATTAATAGTTAGTTAAATGATTTTTGGCTAAAACTTTAGGGGTTTCAGTTAAATGTCAACTGGCAGTTATTTAGTTACATTTGAATAAACTTATGATGGAAATAAAACATATCTAATCATAAAATCTCTCTCTTTTAATGTGAAAATTCATATCATTACAATGATATAAAAATTTTTTTACAAATAAATAGTGAGAAAAACAAATTGATTAATAAAAAAATTTAAGCAGTGATTAAAAAGAAAAATTTTAGTTATAAAAATTCATTGAAATACAATCGTTTTAAATGGAGGAAATTACATTGAGGATGTTGCACCTAATATTTTCAGCTCATATAAACAATATCCAATTAAACAGTAGATATTGAACAGTCATATACTTAAACAATTACAATATGTCCTCTCTTTAAATTGATAAATTAAAAATTTGTGTATACAACGTATGTTTTTCAGTTACTTAATGAAAGAATGTTATCTCTAAAAGCATTATTATTGTTGCAATTATTATCATTTTTTTTTTTTTTTGAAAAGTTAGCTTCTCCCCAAATTAAATTCTGAATCCGGTATCACATAGTACTCAATCGTAATAAATCTAAATAAACAATATTTCTTATATTTTCTTAATTGCATATTCTTAACCGGAATATAATATCATTATACCAACACCATAGATTGATTGTACTAAAATCACTCCCTATTATTTGTTAAATCACGACATTTATAAACACATTTTCTGCATGGACTTTAATGAAAATAATTAATTTGTTTTTTGAAAGTATTAACACAGTTTTTCATTTTTTTACTTAATGTAGTTTATGTAATAAATTAGATTATTATTTAATTTTTCTTTACATAGCCAATAAAATGTATTAAGTTAATTTTTTTTCTTTATGAGTCTTTTTACTTGTTTTGAGATATTGTTGCGCATTTTTGTATTGAACATTTCAAAGCTATATACTGTCCATAAATCTAATCTCTAGGCACGAACTTTCAAAATGAATAATTTAAAAAGATACTAACCAACAATTCTCATGTATCAGTCCAGGCAAATGAGCAAGTCTCTCACACTCATGGTACTCTATAAATTTATGCAAGTTAAGCTGCTTTGAAGGACATGTCTTTTTTCTGTAGTTATGTAAAGGATAATAAATAATTAATATAAAGGGTATTAATTCGAAAGTAACTTTAGTTTCAGTAATCATAACTTTACCATCAAATATATAAATAAATATCATTATTTTGAACTGAGGAATGTGAACATGTTTTTAAGCTTATTAAAATACAACTGTTTCAGGTTTAATTTCCACATTGTAAATATAGTTTTTTAATCTCTAAGTTAGCATCTATTAGTTCTAAAATTGAGAAGTAACATGTAAGGATATACGACAACAGGATAACATGACAAATAAGTATGACTGCTGCTCTCAATAAAATCATTAATCGTATGAGCCTTAAGTCACCTTCTCCTTCCAGAAAAATCAAATTTGCATTCGTATTCACGACTGTAAATATAAATACAGTTGTATTAACGTCTGTAAATATAAATTGTTTAGCCCTTCAAGGACCACTAGCATTTGTATTCATACCTTTAAATAAAACCGTATTCACTTTTACAGGAGTGAATACGGTTGCAAATATTCATTTAAAATAAATACAAATTAATATTTTTTGAAGAAATAAGAATATTTATTGATACTATTATGTGAAAATATTCCCATAAAATTTAAAGAGAGAACTACAATAAAATTGTAATACTGCTCAACTGTGTTGAGTTGTTAACTGACACAGCGTACTAATCTTATCTAGTTGATAATATCTAGCAATTCAGCTTGATATACGTCATATATAAAAATGTCATTTGTTGTTTCCTTTCATTTCTATTCTTTATTCTTCTCAATTCTATCAACTAGATTCATAAAGCAATTACCTGATTTAATTGAGGTGACGGAACAGGATTCCCAATGACTCCAAAATAATGAACTCTCCCAGACTCTGTATCTCATATACCTTTCAACACCTAGCTTTTCCAAAAACCTACTAGTTAAAAGAGGAATTGTCCCTCTTCTTCCAAACCAAGTCCTCGTACTGAAAAATTTCTCACCTGAAATTTCTCTCTTATTTTCTCTTTCAGGTACAGAATGCATTTTTTTATATATTTCCTCCTTCTCAATTTGTATTTTAAGATCTCGCTGCTCATCATTCATCTCAACTATAATTGCAGGATCAACTATAAGAGCCTCCTTTCCTTTTGCACTCAAGGCCAAGATATTTACGAATCTTGATGAGCCTTCCAGACAATAAACTTTAAGGAAGCATTTACAATTTTTCGTCTCCAGGAATTCGATACTTTATATGCGAGCATGATAAGTAGCATGTTTTTAAGACACTTTCACAGAACATGAGCTGGGATTTCTGACTCAGCCACATTTGCAGCAGAGGAGTAATGCTTCTGACAAAACTATCTGTCACAAGTCGAAAGCTTTAATCTTAAATTATGTTTGGAACAAAAAAGTAGTTGAGATAAGTTATCTCTAACTATTTGATTGGGGATGAAGTGAAGAAATTATTAATATAGTTAAAAGGAAAACTTAAACAATCAATATAAATTTGACAAACATAAGTTTAAATTTTGTAATTATTTCCAACTAGCGATATAGATTATCTCATCCTAACATCTAATCTTTCGAATTTATGGATTAACTATTCATTACTTTCAAGGACTGTGCCTTAAAATAGTATTTATATAAAATCTTTATTACAGATATACTGAATACTACACATTGAATATTTTTTCCTGACATTTTGAACTTAAAACCCAATTTATAACCACCGACATCTCGTTAAATGACTACTATCAAGATTTCTTGCATATTCAGTCTTTATTTAAAGCATTAACTTAATTAATTTCATCATGATTTATGTCTATAAGTCTATGCGTTAACTTTTCAGGTCTCTTTGGAAACCAAAATTACATCCCAATGTCCGTCGAGATAACCAATCTGACCTTTGGTCATTAAACTTTGATTCACCTAAAAACTCCTCGTGGATTACAAATCAATTCTGATGCCACTCTGCTAAATCAGCACCTAATTCAATTGGTCACAATGAAATTATATACCTTATTCCAAAGGTTACAAGACAAAATGCTAAATACATCATTGATTGATCTTTGTCCTTTACATCGACAGAGAAATATTGATTCATCATAGTTTTTAATATACTTAAATTAACTTTTTTAAGCATAGCAAATATAACCTTTTCAACAATTTAATAAATTAATGACAGTATTTTATGAATCTAATATAATAACTATAATTAAACAATTTCTGTATGAATTAATTATTATTATAAAATCAATGGCAGAAACTGTGATCAGTTGAGAATTTCTTTTTAAGTCAGTCCACATTATGAAAGTCTAATTTACATTTAAATTAATATTATTTCACACTGGAATGTGGTAGGATATTTCTTATTTTGCACACCTTCTACAATCTACAACAAAGGTTTAGGTGAGAGAATAAGAAAAAAAAAAAAAAATAGAAAAACCTTACAATAAAACGTATTTATTTAAAATACAAAAAAAAATTATCGCTTTCCTCCAACTCTTGGAGCAGATTTCTGTTGAACCTTGGTGGCCTTCTGTTTTGAAGGCTGTTTAACCTGAAAAATAAAATGAGTGTTTTAAAATTCATTGAATAAAGTTATCAAAAAATTATATTTTACCAAAATAATTGATGTTTTCTATAAAAAATAATATACAACAATTAATGCATAAATAAATAAGTTAGGAATAAATCAAAACTTCAGACTGGGTTTTCAGATCTTGGCATTCAAAAATTTAAGTACTAGGAATGAAAAATGTGAAGTATTAAATTCCAGGCTTTTTTCATCAGATTAATGGGGTTAAATTTAAAAGGTTTATAGTTAGTAAATGATCCTCTTCATTTCTTTATAAAAATTGATCCGTTTATGGAAACAAGTTTTTTTATATGATAAATGTTTAATGAATAGCAATTTAAATTGAAAGAATTTTTAACAGTAATAGAAGAAGAAAAGTTACTGAATTCCTTAAGGCATTGCTTAGTAGCAAAGAAATAATTATTGATACCGTTAATAAACTGAATTAATTATATATATATATATTTATTTATTTGAATTTTGTATATATATATATATTTTTTTAAATGAATCCTTCAAACACATCCTTAATAATTCCGTACAAATTACAATTTTGTTATATTCATGAAATATTTACCTACTGCAAAAATTAATTAATAAAAAAATTATATACGATTGAATAAATTAATTATCACGACTTTTGACAAAAATGAGTAAGGCCCACCAATGGATGTGTAAAAATTTTAGACCATCTAAGTATGGCCTAATAAAAGCACTGCTGAGACAGAAAGAGAGGAAATATCGCAAGATAAGTTTAAAGGCCGAAGTTATGAATATTTTGAATTGGTTCTCTGAAAAAGTTGAATTTTACAATAGTAAGCGAAGCAATTATGATACACTATATTTTAAACAGATCCTTCAAAAAAAAGGAATTGTTTAATATTATTCATTAGGTAATCAATAGTTGATCGTTGTACAATATTGAGGAAGGACATGGCCCGAGGCGAGGGTCATAAAAAACTTAAAAAATTATTTTGTTTTAAGCCTAAGAAGTTTTTCCTTTATTGTTTTCACTATTTTAAGTTTTTCTTATGACACTGCCACTATCTCCTTCCTTAAAATTATTTATAAAATATTTTGATTAAAATCAAAAACATACCTTGGGAGCTGCTTTTTCAGGTTTTTTGGCAGCCTTGGTCGCCTTCTTCTGCTCCTTGGCAGCCCTAAACAAACAAATAAATGTAAAACATTTATATACTTCATGCTATCTCTCAACCCTCAAACTACATATATATATATATATATATATATATAAGGATAGGTATGCACGTATATTGGAGTGCACGCGTGTGTGCACTCCTACAAAACTGCTTTATTCATATTTTTAGAGATTTCTCTTCTCACTTCAAAAACTACAGCACCTAGCAAAGCCTTAGTGACTAAAACTGTCTCATTCCAGAGCAAAAGTGAGTTAAAAATGATGTGCATACATAGTTAAAATGCAAAACAATTATGTTTTTCATGTCTTCTATAAAATTTTTGTTTAGAAATTGATATCATCAATTGTAATATTTTAACATCTCTTATAATATATATATAAATCATACTGCACATGGATACAGTAAAAAATACAGCCAAAATTAACAATGTATTCGAAACTAAACTCTCACAACACTAGGTACACATAACAGTGAACCAACTTTTCAATAACATTTAGGTTACGTTAACCACTAAATACCTTTACTTCTGTAAACACCTATAAAAACACAATAATTCTGTTATTGGCTGACAATAATCACAACTCCGAACCTTTTTAGGATTATTAAGCAAAGTATCAGTAATAGTACAAAAGAAATTAATTAAAAAATGAGAATAGTTGAACTGAGAAAACAAATGAATAAGATTAAGATAATAGAAAATAATATACGACATCACTTAATCCCATGTTTTTATTGAATTGTGAAAAACAGAGAACAAACATGTTATTACAATAGCTTACTAATTAATAACATGACTTCAGAAAAATTCAATTTAATAATCTTAATGAGCAGATCATACATTGATTTTGTTAATCTTTTAGCAAAATGTACAAACTTGAAAATTTAAATCAGGGCTGAATTTAGGAACTTTCCCATCATCACTTCACTAAACAATTAAGGTTTAATTAGAAAAACTTCAGTAAACTAAAATAGTATTACATCACCTAACGTAAACATTCTGATTAAGTAAGGGGGAAGGACAATCAATCTACAGAAATATGATAGCAAACATTCGGCACTCAGTGTGATCTATACTCATCAGCCACATAGGAGTGAGACTTCGGAAGTATTACCAAAAAGGTATTTGATTCTTAAACAAAGTTATTCATCTTGAGTTTATTCACGACCAAACTGCAATTGGTGCTATTGGATAACGAGTTAGTGGAATGTGCCACCAATCATTTGTATTGCTAGAGTTTTCAATAAATATTTTATTTCTCCTATATTTGTTATTGCATAACAATTAAAAGGTAACACCTTCACTACCATCAAGTTTGTTGGTTTCCTTTAAGAAACGTTTGCTGTTTTATTATTTGCGAAATATGTAAAGGCACTTTTGGAATACTTGGAGGTTAAACTCTAAAACACAACTCCTGCCCAACTACCCACCAAAAGCTACTGTAAGTTTATTACCTCGTTGTTAAATTAAAAATCAAAATTTGATGCCCACCTAATTGCCTGTTCTCTCTGTGCTTTCCTAACTTCAGGTTTCATGTTTCTTTTGGCCATGATATCTGAAAGGGATGCACCAACAATAGCCCTCTGAAACTTCTGGGTCCTTCTAGTTCTTTTCTTACTCTGTTCTTCCTCCTGACCTTTCTTATGCTTCCGTCTATAAACATAAATAAAATATCAAAATTTAAGGGTCAGAGAAAAATGACGACAAAGTATTCAATGATGCATTTAGCAATACCTGTATAAAACGGTCCAAGTAACTTTACGAGGATTTCTCCTCATTAAATGGGAAGCTTCACATTTTGAGTTTAAAAATGTAAAGGTCTGAAACACAACATATCAAGTTCATCAATTAAAACTTATTTAAAGTAAAACATCTATAATTTACATTACTTTAATTTACAACTAGAATCATTAAAATACAAATATGGATCCTAAGACATTAAGATGAACCCAAATGATAAATAACATAACTGTTTAATAACAAAAAAAAAAAATACTAAGAAATTAGATGTAAACAAACAAATTCAGGACTAAAAGACAAAATGAAATAAATCAACAAATAATATAATCTAAAGTTTAATTACAACATTAATAGGTTACCTTCCCATCAGCTTTGACCATGGTCTTCCCATGTCCAGGGTAAATTTTGTACCCACTGTACGCACACAAACCGATCCTAAAAAATAAAGCATTATATTAAACATCATATTTATCGAAAATTTAACTCATACACAGCAGGATTGATATTATAAAAACAGATAAAACCAAACTCACTTCATGGTGACTGTTAACCTAAACGGACGAAGAGCTGTGTTCAAGGAACCACCGTGCTAGAAGTTAGACCATAAGCCTTCATAATTCCTATAATATAATTTAGGTAGCTTGTATACTTTCTGAAATTGATGTAAATTTAAATATAAAACGACAAAAATGTAAAAATATTTCTTATTTTTTTGTTTTAATGAATTAACTATAATTTCTTTAATTTTAATCAAAAAATATCTATGAAGAATGAAATCTTGAAATATCTGGCACAAGGAAACATATTATTTAATTACATAAAAAGTTATGAAGTTATTAAAATAAATTTTATGAATATTCTATCTTTATTTGATTATGTTATTAGGTTATTATTTTCATTTAAGTTTTTTAATTTACGACAGAGGTACAAGAACAGCCTGTTTAGGGCGGGAATCTTCAAAAGACGGAATCGATAATTTTGTTGATATAGTCCATCTCCAAGACAATCATAATTAAGCTTGAATAAATTATTTCTTTTTACTTTCCAAAGTAATTATTCCTCTCTATTTTTACCCATTGACCAAAAATTTATTCAATTCAATGAAAAGTTATTTAACTCCAACTTTGCATCGTTTATTTATAGTTACCACTTCCACTTTTTTACTTGGTCTATAATTTCCGTTCGTTTGGGTTGTAAAATGATGTCATCTGTGAATGAAACTTTTGAAGACAATTTATATGAAGGGTACAATGACTATCATTCTGCATTTAACACCAAAAACATTGACCAAGATGTTTTTCTTCAAGAAGCTCTCCTCAAGTCTTCTTATGGAAGGCGAACCAGAGTTGTAAGCTTAGTAATTAACAAGTCTGATCTTTATTTGATTATATTAGATCCTAATTATGTTTGTTTGTCATTAGCCAACTGGATTCAAAACACCAGGAACAGGGATGAGACTTGGTACATCTAGTGGGGTAAATTAATATTCTATGTCTCATTTTAAAAAAAGGAATAAATTAAAATTATGAAATTAATACTCTTTATATAGTTTATAGATCCTTTCAACTATTTCATTTATAACTATATCCTGCAGGAAAAGTCAGTTGAGGAGTATGTTCAGTTATGAAAAAAAAAAATGCCATCATGAGAAAACTTATTTTAATGTATGTTAAAGTTAACTTCGCTTAAATTTCAATTTTTTAATGTTATTATATCACAGAACTCATCAACGAGATCTAAGACTTCTATCAACAATCACTTATTCATAAAATTTGTACAAATGGCAACTTAAAATAATACATAACATTTTATCTGCTGACATCTCTTCAAAAGTTTTTAAATTAAGTTTGAAACATCAGTAATTTTAAGTTTTAATCTAAACTTTTCAACCCCTAACACTTCTACCACAATAATTCCACAACTTCTTATGAATTTGGAATATGTTAGTAAGTCAACACAGAATAAAATAAGTTTTCTTCATGATATATTTTTTTTCTTTTTAACATCGAATGCACCCTCTGAACAATTTTTACAATTAATTCCATTGTTGACAGAACCAGTGCCAGCCTAAGAGCCAAGCAATATTCATTTTTATTTTCTGGCTCTGCAATCATATAAATATTAAGTGATTAATTTGAGATAATATCTTTGAAGCTTTTCGGAATCCTAACGTCATTACTAGATTTTCTCGAAATGCTTTTTAATTTGTTGGTTTTATCAAACCATACCAAGAAAGGCTTGAGAAAGATTTTTTTTTTTAAATCGGTAAATATATATAAATTATTAAATTGTTAATTTTTATATGATCCTTAGTTCAAGGAAGTAACTGGAATGCCAGTCAGACCTGTTACTGGTAGGACAGATACTGCCCAGAGACCGATGACAGCTGTTAGTGGTGCTGGATATACATCGCAAAGAAGAGGACCTTCTGGTTTTATTGTTGGAGCGATGACATCATCAATGAGCAGATCTGAATTACAAGAAGAAAGGTGCTTCATTCTATAACAATGAAAAAAAATCAATGTAATAATGTTTGTTGCTTTAATGTTTTTTATTACTTAGGAGTACCTTAATCTTTCAATTAAACTAATAATCAAAAATATTAGGTATCTTTGAAATGCCTTCTATATAATAACTATTAAAGTGAATGAAATATAACTATTAATTATTATTTTTTTTAAACTTTCAATTACTCTTTAAATTTTATTTTTGTTTAATAAAAATAAAAATTTTATCTTTCAAACCTCAATTTATCAATTTTTATAATAACTGGTTTCCTTATTAAAAAACAAAAATTTTGATGACAAAAAAAAAATTTAATAACTTTTTAAGAATGTTTACTTTGACTAGGATATAATACATCAGTTTCAAGAGGGGAAAAAAAGTAACTGTTAAAGTAAGTTTTTGTAAATAATACATTAATATTATTTATTGTTTACATTATATTTACCTGTTATTATTTTTTCACCTATGTATCCGAGTATTCCTCAATTTGCATAATTTTTCTTAAATTAAACACAAATATCCATAAAAATATTGTTTAAAGCACATTTAAATTATTTTAAACAATACATTTTTTTTTTATATCTTGAATCAATACTAAAAGTTACAATTATAGCCACTTAAAGCATATTCATATATTAAAAATGTCATTTTCATCAAATCAGATAAAGTAAAAATCACCATTGCTTATGGACTATACACCTTTTCTTGTGTCATCGAATACCACTTTGTTATCAGAGTTACAAAATCATTATAATATTTCAAGAATTAGAGTCCAAGTAACTCAAACACTTTTTTATCTGTTTTTAAAAATTAAAATTGAATTAAAACAAATTTATAGAACAGTTTTTATTTAATGGTTCTCCAAAAAGATTAAGTAATCTTTTTAAATAATTTTTTTTTTTCATTACAGTTACTAAAGATGTAAATAAGAAAAAGTTCCTCTTAACCCCAGGACAATTAAATGGAATAAAAAATAAAAAAAAGACCATTTTTTAAAGCTGAACTTTAGGTCCCAGGGAGTAATTTATAACTGATTAGCATTACCTCTTGTGATGAGTATCACATCGTGGCATCCGGTTTAAATTTGACTCATTTTAAAAACATTGAATGATGATTATTTTTCTAATCAATATGAAATATTTGATCAAATGTCTAATACTTCTTAGTGTACCTATTCATATTGAATAAATTCTGAATATTTTATTCTTTGTCGAACTAAAGAGATTTGATTTAGACAAATTTTCATTAAATAAGGAACATATTTCAATTTTTAATGATTGAACACAATTATATTTCAGTACATGAAAAAAAAAATTTCAGGGCTGAAGACAAAATTAAACGACAGGAAAAAAACATTATGTCTTTGGTTGATGAATCTTGTATAGCTGCTTCAAAAAAAAATTTTCCCTTAGCTCTTGAAAAAGCGAAAGAAGCCTCTGGGAAAGAAAGAAATTTGATACGTTTACAAGAACAAGCTGGGCTCGGGGATACGCATAACATTGATCTCACATACCTGGTAGTAGAATTAAATGGGCACGTCGCTACTTTTTTGGTGCATGTACTTATATATAATTTATTTTATATGTTTCTTTTTAATTTTTTAGGTTCTTTTCAATTTAGCTAGCCAATATGAGAATAATGAAATGAGTAACGAAGCATTAAATAGTTATTCTGTAATAATAAGAAACAGAATGTTTCAGAATTCAAATCAACTCAAAATTAATATGGGTAATATTTATGCTAAAGCTGGACAAATTCCTAAAGCAATAAAGATGTACAGAATGGCTCTCGACCAGGTTCCTAACACTTTTAAAGATCTTAGGTAAAAAAATAAAACAAAAAATATTAAAAAATTGTTAAGTACTGTTATATTTTTTTACATTTGATTTCTCTTTTTAAGAGTTAAAATAATGCATAATATTGGATTACTCTTTGTAAGACTTGGACAGTATAATGACGCCTGCAGTAGTTTTGAATATATTATGCAAGAAAGACCTAATTTTAAAGCTGGTGAGTAAAAAATGTTTGACATCTCATTTAGTATTGCAGATGCACATAATTTGTTATGTAATATTAAATTTAAGTTAGACATCTAGTTTTTAAAATTTTGTTTTTTTTTAGGATTGTTTGCTTTGCTTTGCCATTATGCCATGGGTGACAAAGATAAGATGAAGCATAGTTTTAAAAACCTCCTCGATAGTCGATTAGATATTGATGAAGACAGATATCAGATAACGGTATTATCATTTTTGTTGTTTTTATCATTTGTTTAACCCAATCTCTAGATTTTAAAAATATTTTAATTGAACATATTATTTGTTTGTATTGATCAATTTGTTCATGGTTTTTAAACAAAATTTATACTTTAAGATGCTACTAGCCATATATATATATATATATATATATATATATATATATACATATATAAAGTTCATTTGCAAAGTTAACTATTGTTCAGAGACCCCCTTCATTAGAATGGATACTAGTCCAACCTCCCTATCATAATCATTTCTCATCCATCCAGTCCTCATAAAATTCTAAATAGATACTACTGTAAATATGTATATAAATTATTAGGTTGTTCTTCATTATTTTTACTTCATGTTTTATTCAATTTTTTATTTTTTATTATTAACCGATTTAAATTAAAAAGTAAGTTATAATTTTTTTTTCTATTATGACTATTTAATTACTCTGTATTTTTATATATGTATTTCTGAGGCTCCTTAGCCCACATTTCTGTCTTTCTGTATTATTCTAAAAGGATTCGTCCCAGAATAAATAAAGTATTATTATTATTATGAAGCTCTCAAATAAGTATTGGCCTGATATAATTAGATCTATTTTTTTTTCCCTACTGGTTTCTGGACTGCTACATGTTATGTTTCTAACTGAGTTTTTTTTTTTAAGGACTCAAATGAAAGCAGTAAGCTAGTTATGGAACTGATAAGAGATGATAAACTCAGTCGTCTTGAAAAAAAATTAAAGACTTATGCTCACTCAGCTATTCTCACTGCTGCAAAACTTATTTCTCCAGTTATTGATGTCAATTATAATCTAGGTGACAACTTCAGTACAAATATATTCCAATTAGTTTTTGTTTTTTTTAGTCTGAAATATTTTTTATGATAAATGGTTTAATATTAGTAAACTATTTATAATAATTTGTACATTTGTTCATAAGAAAAATGGTCTATACTTTGATTTCTTGCTAACCATCCCTTTGTTTTAAAAGCATCTTTTGAGAACGTCATCAATTGCTCCTGTTTTTCATTAAAAAAAAAAAAAAAACCTCTCTGGATTGAGACAAATGAACTATAGGACTGTAGTCAGACTCTATATGGATTAAAAAATAATACACAAAACTATGTTTTCTTTATCTCAGTAAGCAGTATATCGCAGACCACCAAAAATGATTTTGTTTCTCTTCACACAAAAATAGCAATTCATTCATAATCAATACTGATTCATAGTCTAACCATAGTTAGACAAAAGATGCCATACATGTGACTTTCTGTTTTTGTGTTTCAGCTAATTTTACTATCAAAATTTTGTATTTTGAATGTGAACTTACAGCTATATGGGCATAAAATGTTATTAAAAATGTTCTCTAACTTAAGTTAAATGAGGAAAATATTTTTAAATTTGTTCATTTTTTGGTTCTTAAGGACCCAAACTTCGTAAATAAAACAAAAAAATTGTGTATAAATAGACTGGCACCGACTAACACCTTTTAACCCCCTAATTTAGGTTAATTACCTCTGAATCACCTCAATTTCTGATATTTACTCCTTTTTTTATAATGATTTTATTGCTAGGTATTATATTATTTTGGTTTATTATTTTTAATTATAAATCTTTGTTTTCAACCAAGAAAAAAAGGGAAGATTATCTCCTTCAAAATTTTAGGTTTTACGTTTCAAGATAGATAGAATCCGAAAATCAAATTAACAAAATCTGTCCATATGCTGTCTGTAACATTTCTTCAAGATTAATTGGCAGTTTTTTTTTTTTAACTTTTGGCATCAAGGTCATCCCAGAAAGATCCTTAAAATCACCAACAGCAATTTATTTTAAATTGTTAATTGACTAGAGGCTTTATACACTCATATAATTTGAGCCATTATGTAACAACAGTAATACATAATATACAGTAGCACATTTTATTTTTTCAATTACCCCACCTCACCATTTCCAGCATGTAAGAAATTTTTTTTTGGTTCCTCCCCTTCCTCGCCTTTAAGGTTATACAGGGTTTTCCCGGGCGCAGATTTAAAAGACTCCCCTGGCACCGGGACGCAAACTTGTGATTATATTTTATCATTTTGTCTCATATATCAGGCTGCCAGCAACAGCAGTGCTGTGCACACGTGTTAGCCTGCTCACAGCATATAAGGGTGTTGTTCTAGAGGTACAGCTATTCTAACCAGAGTGGAAAGGTCGAGATTCATTCCACATATCTGCCAGGAAATAAATTTTAACCTGTCCAGACTGGATTTAAATCGGTGTCGCTAGACTCGAGAATGCTAAAATTTACACTTTAACAAGCTCATAGTCTCTTGTCAGTTAGCATTTGAGCTGGTTATCACTATTTCTTATTTCAATAAGAGATATTAAACCTAAAGGAATAAATAAAGGATGTGGATGGACTATTATAATATGAACTAATGTTTGATAATATTAGTTTTTAATTTTAAAATATATTGTACAGTTTATAGCAACACTTGATCCTGATCTTAAGCATAATATTGACTATTATGTATATCTTAGGTTACAACTGGTGCTTGGAAGCCGTTAACAACTCTTTTCATGCATCATTAGCTGGTGAATTAGAAGTAAATAAAGCTTTAGCAGCGTTGAAACAGGGTTCGGTCAATGAGGCTATTGATTCCCTTAAAGCTCTTCAGAAGAGAGGAGATTTGAGGCTGGCAACTACGGCTGCTACAGATTTATCTTTCATACATTATTTAGTAAGTATTTTTGATGATAAAAGACAAATATTTTATTAACCAATTGGTATCTTCACATTCTTGCTTCCTTAGTTTAAGTTAGATTTCTAAACAGCATATGGGATAAGGATTTTCTGATTCTGAAATTTTCATAGGTTGTAATTAGATTGAAGAAAGTCTATGTTGTGTGGATGTAGTCCACACAGAGGAATTATATAAATCGGGAGCATTATTGGGGAAGTTATTATCTCCTAACTACAATGAAATTTTGTTATAATATTTCCTGGGCTGATATAACTGAATAAATAATTGTGGATTGATGATTGACTGTAGTGAATAATTGAAGAGAAGGATGGTTGGGGTGATCAGTAAAAATAAATAATTATATTTATTTTTGCCAACGTTTCAGCCCGAAGTTCAGGCCTTCATCAGGGCTAAGAAAAAAACAGTTAAAAATAGGTATGAGAAACTATAAACATTGAATAATAAAGAATTAAAATTAAAAAGGTGAAAGGTATAGACTCAAAAATGTACGTAGAATAAACTTAAAGTAATATGAATTAGATAGAGTGTACATTAAAGTAAAATAAGTTAGGTAGAATAATAACAGTAACAGAGAATTGTTACTAAGAAATAAATAATGACGGCAACAAAGTGTACTTTTATTTATCTTAATTATTTTATTAGTCCGTAGACCAATGAGATAAACATAATCAAAATAAGGTAACATAAAAATTAAAAATTGGTAATCTTAGAATAAAATGTAAAACAGAGAAAAGGAATATGAAGTTATATAAGGAAATAATAAATAGAAATAGAAAATTGAGATATGGTAAAATCTATCAAAATGTACTGACTTTGTATAAGATAATAAAATTTAAAATAATGTAAAAAAGATAAATGAGCTGGAGATATGGATAATAGAGTGACGGTGAAGAGGAAAAAAGGAGAAAACTAAGGTAAGAAAGATAAACAGACCTGGTCAATCGAAGAAGCGTGGAAAAACAAAGGTATTATAGCTGGATAGAGTAGAGGTACATAGCGCCATCTGAAACGGTTAATTGAAATACGTGAACTAAAGCACAGAAACGTATATAATGAACAAGAGATTTATTGTAGATAAATTCTATGAATTATTAAATAAATGTGTAATTGAAAGAGGATGGAAATAAGGTATCTGAAGATAGTATAAAACAGAGATAGTAAATATTAAATAATAATGGAGTATTACTGAAATAAACGTAAAACGTGAGATTAAAGAAAATGAAAAAGAATTAAAATCAAAGAGGTAGTATGCTGTAATTTTTATTACATCTTTTTTACTTTATTACATAATTTGTATCCTTGAGACATTCCTTTACCAAATAATCAACAATCATCGACTGTCCTATGTATACAATCTCCTCCAATTTAAATCATCTATCCACTCCCTCTTCACAAGATCTCGTCCTACTGACCTTTACACCCGTTTCCATAGATCTGCTTCATTTCATTCCTCCATTGTCCACTCTACCACCTTTTGGAATTCCATCCCACTTAAAATCCGCCATGCACCATCCTTGTCCTCATTTAAAACCCCCTTATTCCAATTCCTCTTCACAATCCAATCAGACGCTGGTTAATTATGTATTATGTAACAAATTTATTTCTTTTTCTTTTTATACACCACTATTTTATCTTATTTTTTGTTTATTATTCATGTATTGAAATTGAACTCAGTAATAGATTCAGTATCACTTTTGGCATAGCACTGTGATGTGATGCATAAAAAATAAGCGATTGTTTGTTGGTTTTATCCATTTTTTTTTCCATCTACAAGATTGTGTATATTTTAGATGTATTTCATTTTTTACGTTCCTCAATTTATATACATGTATATCTTTTGCTATCTTAAGCTACGCATTTGTTTATGGTTTACAATACCATTGTGTATTATATAACATATATAAATAATTCATCTTCTTTTAGTTAGTTTTTTGTTTTTTTTTTGTCGCAATTGTTTATTCATAAAATTAATTTAATGCCCCTTCCTAATTGTATTTATCTATTTATTCTTATTTTATATCTCTTATGCAATTAAACTTCCATTTTTTCTTTAATCTTATTTAATCACATCGTTTTAGATAAATAAAAGTAAACTTTGTTGCCGTTATTATTATTTATTTCTTAGTTCTCTGTTACTGTTATTATTCTACCTAATTTATTTTACTTTAATGTTCACTTTATCTACTTCATTTTACTTTAACTTTATTCTACTTACATTTTTGAGTCTATCCTTTTCACTTTTTTAATTTTAATACTTTATTATTCAATGTTTATAGTTTCTCATACCTATTGTTATTGTTGAATCTCTGAAGATGGGAAAACTATCCTGAAACTTCAGATGGGATTAAAAAATATTAAAGAAAAAATGAAAGTTTAATTGCCCTAACCTTGAAAATATAAACCAAAGCTTCCTAGAGAAAGAAAGACAAGAATAAATGTATTATTTAATCTCTACCTTATGTAAAAATTAGGTAGTTGTTTTAATATTATGTTATGTAAAAACTTATTATTTTAGCAAGGAAACCTTGATGAAGCTGAAAAATATGGGGAATTAGCTAAAGAAGCAGATAGTTACAATTCAGGAGCTTATGTCAATTTAGGAAATGCTGCATTATCAAGAGGAGATCCAGAGAAAGCAAAACATCTTTATCTTATTGCTCTTGACAATGATCCATCTTCTATTGATGCTCTATACAATCTAGGTATCGTATTATAATTTTCTAAAATAATGGTCTTTTTTTTTTTATTTTATGGACAAAAATATTTGGAATTAGGCTCATTCATAAAATACCTTTTTGGAATTTTTTCTAGTGTTGGTACTTAAAATATCTGTTGTCCACTCAAACAACTGTCCTTACTTCTTAAGCTGCTCCTAAGTGGTTCAATAATAAAATTATTTGTTCTATCTTTTTATATAACTAATAGATTAAAAATTATGCAAATAAAGTTCAATGCTTCATTTGATTTAGACTTTTTTTTTTTAAGCTTTTGTAGACAATTAGATAATTTTTCCAATGAGGATCTAAAATATTCTGTGAAATTTATAAGCTATAAAAAAACTAAACTAAGACCAACAGGTTTCTATTTGAACAAGTGTTGAATATTTTAAAAATTAGTTATCTTTCAAATAATGGTGAAGATACTTTAAAAAATGGACTCTGAAACGCAAAGATTTTTTTTTTCTGGTCACTCCTATCTCACCATTTATGGCATACAAGAAATGGAGGGGAGACAGGATTTTGTTCCAAAGTTTCAACCAAACCTATTTTAACCAGATGTGGTGTGATGGAAATTCATTCCATGGTTCCGCAACAAAATAAATTTCAACCTTCCCAGGCTGGATTTGAAATGGTTCCGCTACACTCGAGAATGTTAAAGCAGGTAATGAATGCCTCGTCGACATGCTCGGCAATCATGATCTTAAACCTATAGATCATTTGAAAACTTCACACAAAAATGTTAATCCAATTACAATACTTTCTTTACCAAGTGGTGGTTGATTCTGATGTTTTTTACCTCCCTTGCTCTACAGCTCATCGAAATCAGTCTAGCTTTGCTGCGTTGGTTATGAAGAACTGATGAAATAAAGAGACTTTTTTGAAATATCGAAGTCCTTAATTCAAATATTATTATGAAATTCTAACAAGTATATTGGAAAATTATTCATTTTTACTTATTTAATTTGACTGCCATTATTGGTTGGCAAAGCATTATTTTTCTAAATAAGAAGTTCATATTTGATTCTGAAAATGTTGACAAAAGTTTGTATGTTCAATTACATTATATAAATCTGAATGATTCCTGTAAAAACCATTAAAACATCCTATCTTGACAACAGAGTGTGACCAGATGTGGTTGGCAACAATGAACATAATTTTGGTAGACTATCCCTCTCTGAATTATTGATATTTACACTGGAACATGTATTATTATGGCAACAACCTTCTCCAATTTGAGTCCTCAATCCATTCCCTCACTACAACATCTCGACCCTCTGACTTATACATCCCTTCTCATAGATCTGCCTCATTCCAAAACTCCTTTATAGCCCGCTCTGTCAACTTTTGGACTTCCCTCCCGATCAAAATTCGCCATGCCCCCTCCCTATACACATTCAAAAATATCCTATTCCAATTCCTGTTCCAAAAACAGTCAGATACCAGCTAACTATTAATACTATATATGTATTGTGTAACAATCATATAATCATATGATAATACTTGGTAAGAGAAGTAAAGTTTTTTTATGAAATGAACTTATTATATCTCTTTTTCGTTCTTCATTTCTCAATATATATGTTTATGTTGTTCAACCCTTATATATAGTTTTGTTCATAGTTTCAAGTGATTCATTCATAGTTTTAAGTGTTTTGTTCATAGTTTTAAATGCTCTGTACATAGTTTTATCTGTATTGTATATAGCTTGTTCACCTAAGGTTATCAATTTTATTTATTATGAGAAGGAGTTAGTTGAGGGTGGGGTCAAATAAATAATAAATTAAAATATATTAATTTATTATTTATTTGACTGCATCCTCGACTAACTCGTTCTCATATTATATCAACGGTCAACCATCTCTACATCATTAATTTTATTTATTGTTTCAAACTTTTAGGCCAGTAATATTCTATTTTTTTTTTTTTTTTTTTTTGTACAATTTTGTTATTCTAAAGGGACTTAGTCCCAGAATAAAGTTTTTTTTCTATCTATCTATCTATTATCCATGCTTATATTTTTCCATTAAAGTCTATTGTAATGTTGCATTGTCATATAACTTAAAATATTCTGAAAAAACAAAAACATTTTGGACAAATTGCTTGAGTAGTATTGTGTTAAATAAGAGCCAAAATGTAAACTGAATATATCATAAATACATTTTTTGAATTAAAAGACTCAAACCCATTGAAATGGAAACAGATTTTTCATTTCATTCATAACATTAAGAATTAATAAATTCTATCAGTAATCTATACCTTAATTTTTTAAAAGCTTAAATTATCATGCAAACTATATGCTTGTTTCTTATTTTTTGCTTACTTTTTTTTTAATTATAAATTTTTTTTAGGATTATTACATAAACAACAAGGTGAATATGAAGATGCTTTGGACTATTTCTTGAAACTTCATTCTATTCTCAGTTCCCATCCTCCAGTTCTTTATCAACTTGCTCACCTCCATCAGTTAGTTGGAGATCTTGACCAAGCGATTGAATGGTAAGTGGCCTTCAAAAAGTAAAATTACAATAATATTTAATATATCTTTTGTAAAAATTGTGTATCTCAAATTTAACATTTAAAAAAAAAATTTCTGCTGTATTCAAGGTCATTAGAAGTGAGTGGGGGTGCATTTTAAATATATTTCACTAAGTAATAGTTGATTCAATTTTAATATAGGGCGAAAATGGCCAAGGTGGTTGAAAAGCCCAAATCATTAATAAATAAAATAAATCTGTTTCATAGCTTCTAAAGCACAGTTTTGGAGATTTGAGCAATGTATATTTGTTTCTCACTACATTTAGGGACTTCCAGCAGCCCCATTTGGATCAATTGAGTTGTTTGCATGTAGAACAATACTATAACAGAGTGGCGACCTACCTGAAAAAACTTGAAAAACGGGAAAAGTCTGGGAATTTTTTTAGTACAGACATTTTTATTTTTCGAATTTGAAATAAATATATAGTGGATATCGTTTATAATGACCTTGAAGTACCCCTTAAACTTAGTACCCGCATAAGTACTATGGCTCCATTTTAGCAAAATGGATTTAAAACAGTGTTTTTTTTGTAATGAAAAACATACCAATGCTATTTAATATTTTTAATATATACATCTGTTTATAGTGATAAAGAAACTAAATTACTTATGAAAAACTACATTAATATTATAATCCTCTGTAACTCACTTTATTTTATAATAGAGAAAATCAGAGCTTTATATGTCAAGTATCAACTTTTATCGCCTCTCAGTTTATGAAAATAAAATAAAAGCGATAAAAATAAATTACTAGAAGTTTAGTTTTCAAAAATAAAAAATCTTAATCAAGCTTAAAAAATGCTTACTTTTTTTTTTTACTTAAATCATTTTGTAGTTAATTTTCTTTTGTGTATAATAAATAAATTTTGTTAAAAATTATATATTTTTTGGTGTCCCCAGACGTATTGGTCAGGGAAAACTATCATTAAATGGGGAAATGTCAGGGAATTTTACTTTCACTGTCTGGCAGCCACCCTGTATATATAAACGAGGAGAAATTTCCATCAAAATTTCAGCCTGTGTAAATGGTTTTTCCCCTTCTTCTTAATGTGATTTTTTTTTTAATTTTCTCTAATTTATTTCCTTTAGGTTTTTACAGCTATTGAGCATAGTACCATCCGATCCTAGTATTTTACAAAAATTGGGTGAAATTTATGATAGCGATAATGATAAACAACAAGCTTATCACTATCATTATGAGGTATGCATTAATTATTGGTTAATAAGTCAACTTTTACTTATTGTTTTATCGATAAGATATGGATAAAATGAGAAATTTCTTTTTAACAATTGTTTTTAGGCTTATAGATACCTTCCTTCTGAGCTGTCAGTCTTAGATTGGCTAGGTTCTTATTATATTTCTCATCGTGTACCAGAAAAAGCTATTCAATTTTATGAAAAAGCTGCTCTGATGCAACCGAATGAAACAAAATGGCCTCTTCTTATCGGATCTTGCCATCGTAGAGCAGGAAATTATCAGGCGGCTCTGAATACTTACAAGGAAACACTTGCAAAATTTCCTGGTGACATAGAATGTAAGTAATTGTCAAAACTGTTTCAGTATACATAAAATATGTACAAGTATTATAAATTGAGTTAAACTAATTATTGATTAGATATTTATTATGAAAAAAATATTCAGAATAATAATTTTATAGCATTTCTAAGTCAAATTTAGAATTTTTCAAACCAAATTGGGATTTTCCCAAATCAATTTAAGAATTTTTATAACAAAAAATGGATAGGATATTCTAATTTTCTTATTAAATTTCATAGACATAAAACCTATTATGAATAATAAGGTTAGGCGTTATTGCGTTTAAAGACCAATTTTATTTTATTGATGAGGCAAGTTTTAATATTCATCATCGAAGGAACCATGCAAGTGCAAGTGTAAATAAATGTCCAAAAGTAATAGTTTCTACAGTCAGAGGGAGAAACGTAACACATTTATTCACTATCATTAACGGAATTTTTCAGGTAATCTCAAACGCCATTTGCAATGCTGTTCAGTTCAGTAATTTTTTGTCGGAGCTCCATGAGAAGATTACTAGTACTCTACAAAGTTTCTTGGTGAATTTTTCTAATTTTGATATTGGAAAAGATTCATTTAAAGGTAGTAAACTTTTACTATTGCAGGCGTATTTACTGTTGACCTTGTATGGTTCCTTCAAAGATGAACACTAAAACCTGCCTCATCAATGAAATAAAATTAATCTTTAAACGCTATAACGCCTAACCTTATTATTCATAAGAAGTACTAGTTCTAAGGAATTTAATAAGAAAACTAAATTATCCTATCCTTTTGTTGTAAAAATTCTTAAATTGATTTGGAAAATCTTAATTTGAAATGGTAAATTCTGCAAATAACCAAATAAAAGTTATATGTGAATATTTAGTTTTGGCGGGAATAGGCAAATAGCCTTCCGCTTTATATCGGGGTCTAGGTTATTTACACTCGTGATTATTAAAACAAAACCCCGGCACTGGATAACGACTTTTTGAGGGTGTTTAATTGTTGTTGGGAATTAGGGAATCTAATACTTTTTGTGACACTGAGTGAGAAGAAACAATAAGAATATAACTTTGAATGAATTGACTCACCTTGTTTATTATTCTTCAATTGTGAGGCATATAGGACAACTAAATAAAATGACTTTCACTCCTGTATAATAAAACAATTTATTTTAGCAACTGTAATAAATTAATGTATAAAAGTCTTATAACTGTAGGCTTAATATTCTTAGTCTTCAATGTAGTAAGCCTCTCTTCCCAGATGATGTCTTCGTGTCCAGGCCTCAAGTGCCTGGTATCCTTCTCCTACCTGATCGGACCTTTTTCCTTCTTCATCGATTGTTTATCGATATGGGATTTTTCAATTAATAATTTGTCCACTGCATAATTGAGTACAATTCACAGTGCAACCTCACATTCCTATATATTATATATTCCTTCTCATTCCTTCACACAATGTCATATAAAGGAGTAAATACTGGGGGATGTCTACTACAATTCTAAATTTGATTTGAAAAATCCCGATTTCCTTTGGAAAGCTCTAAATTAGACTTGGAAATGCTATATTAATTTATTTCTTTTTTTGATATTTATTAATTACTTCTACTACCAAATATTTTACTGTTGCCATAATTATTCACCTTTTTTTTTCGTTTTGTTATGATAAATATTTTGTTTAGGTTTAAAATTTCTTGTAAAATTATGCAGTGATTTGGGTTTGAAAGAAACAAACGAGTATGCACTTGAATTGAAAAGAGCTGAAAAAACAAAAGAAGTAAGAGAAAGGATCAGCAGCAGTCGTTCGGGTAATCCAGTTTCAACTTAATAGTTATACTAAATTAATATTATTTATATCTATTGAATCTTTAACCAGGTTCTCGGAGAAGCAGCGGTAGATCATCAAGTGGAAGAGGCGGTCCAAGCCCTGGACAAATGGAATCCCCCCTGCCTTCAGCCGGAGGAAGATCTCATGTTACAATTGGTAATGTCATCAGTTTTTGTTTCATTATGAGTAAATCTTAAGTTAGTATTTGCTGGCTATTGTCCATTGCAGCAGATGGTAATTGGTTACTATGGTAACTCCCCCCCTCCCTCCCTCCAGTTTTCGACATCCACTGAATTTAATTGAAGAATATTAAGCGTTGGAAATGGCCTCGAGCTAGCAAAAGGCGCTTATTTGAAGCGGGAATCTCTCTTGCGCTCGCATATCCCACTATTTATTTAGTTTTATAGGTCGAAAAAATTGCTGAACATTAGAAACCTTACAGGTGTTGCCCAGGAAGGACATTTCTTACATTGTTGGCAAAAAACACACCTTCCTCCATAATATCATTGTAGTTCTTTCATTCTGAAGGCTGGCAGATTTAATCCTTTAGGTTTTTGAAATTGGGTAAGCAGTGCCGAAAACTGTTGCATAAAGAAATTTTTATATTTTTCTGTTTTGCTATTAAAAAAAATAAATTAAAGACACTGTTCCACATATATATATTTTGAAATTAGAGATATTTACTTAACAAAACCGAAATTGTTGAATCAAGTACCCACACGATTGAAAACGGGACAAAATCATTTTAAAGTTTCCTTAAGGGTGTTGAAAATAATAGAATGGAGCACATTTCATTGGGACTGCTCGGCAGTCTAGGTATTACATCATCTCCCTATTGTTTTGTCCCGACTGCTCCAGAAAAAGGTAAACTGTTGAAAGTACAATAGTTCTAGATTAAGGAGGGCGGGGTGGCCAAATGGGTTAACGCATGTGCACAGGGCCGCGAGTTGCCAGGCAACCAGATAACCGAAGTTATGAGATTTAAAAAAATGTACGGGTTCGCGTCCTGGTGCAGGAGGGGATTTTAAATTCCCCACCATCAACCCCTGGCCTGTAATAATAAAAATCCCGTATAGCCTAAAAGGGGAGAAAGAGAAGAACAAGGGGAAAAAAAAAGTTCTAGATTATGTTATATCTAAGAAGAGTTTTAATGATAACAGTCATGTTTGTACATTTCATTACTTTTTTTTTTTTATCTTGTCAGACAAAAGTAAATGAAAACTTGTTTAAAATTTAAATAAAACTGTAGCAAATCCTTTTATTAGGATTGAAGTAAAATGACAGAAAGAAGGTATATCTACATGCAAACATATAAAATTTATTTATGTTTAGTACATACTTAAATAAATTTGAAGTTTATAATTATGGATAAATATTAACACAATGATTTTACGCTAGTTTACTTCATTGGCCGTGTAATCCATTTTTCTTTGAAGATTTCATCATCATTTTCTAATTTCTTTTTGTAATATTCTTAGGATATTATAAATCTGTTGAAATATATTTCCATTAAAGCGATTTAATACCTTCTCTATTCCCCATTATTCAATTGCCAAAAATCATTGTGATATGAGCTTAAGATAAGATGTTATCATTGTGAATGGCTAACCTTGCAGAATTTTCTTTTATAAAATGACCAGAAATCGTAACACCATTTTTTCCTCTGTTAAATAGACCAACATACTTGTATGCTATTACTGGTAATATATAAGTTTATTAATTTAAATTTTTATAAGTTTGAAGAAATAATTTTATATTGTTATAAAACTTTTATTTTTTCATAAAGAAGCTGGATATTCGGATCCATTAGGCCCATTGCAAGAAAGGCCGAGGACAGGAATGGCTGCTCCAAAAACACCATGGGCTATTGATGAAGACTTTGCAGATGAAGAAATAACTACAGATCTCCTTCCTGAATAATTTAAATATACTCTAAGAAGAGTGTTGTTTTTTTTTATTTGGGAATGTATATAACAAATAAAATATTCTCTTTTATCATGGACTGACACAAAAAATATCTTTTGATTTTTTCCTAATTATCTTTACCATTAAAGTCTACTAGTTTTACATTATATATATGTGTATCTTTATCTATTAACTGACTTTAAGCCATGTTGAGCTTGTTTTGTTTTGTTTTTTTTTGGATCTAATTTTATTTATTGGTATTTATAAATATAAATTTCCTTCTATTCATTATCCTCTTAACCTACTCTCATCCTTATACAAATACTACCTAAAACATTAAATTTTTTGCAATGTTTGACATATTTATTAATATTTAATTTTTTACTAAAGTTTAATTGAATATTTGATAAAATTTTATTAATAAGAAATTTATCTCAGAATATACAAAATGAGCTTGCATAAATTTATTGCACATTAAATTGTCTTATAAATAATATTATAGAAGAAGAAAAATAAATTTTATTCTGGGACTAAGTTTCCTTAGAATAACTACAATGTACAATTTAATGACAATTGTCTGGCGTTAAGAATAAATTAAATTACATGATTGTCTAGATCTAAGATTACAATAAAGAAAAGGCATTATATATTTATATATATATTTTATTAATATTTATCTATATTTGAGTGAATATAAAAGGAATCATTGAGTGACCTTGTGAGAGCACTTTTAACCCTTTGACTGTGGCAGCGCATTTGCGTGTTTCTACCAGATGGTGCATCCTGAAATCCAAAAAGACACCCAGAAGATATTTTTTTCATAAATTTGTGTAAAATGCTATTTTGCCTATGTTGGATGATTAAGAAACTTATCATAAGCAAAAATATTGTAAATGTCGAGCAAGTAATATTATCTCAATATTTCTCTCTTCTACTTCGGTGCATAATATTTATTTTCCAATTTATTTATTTTAAGTCACTTTACACCAATTTTTAATTTGGTCAACTTAATGACTACATCATAATTATGACGTTTCGGCTTTAACTTATCATGTGGTTGACACATGATAAGTTAAAGGTGAACATGATAAGAGTGATATATTTTATTATGAGTAGACGCATGTAATTTGCATAAGTGAAGTGGACAGGTACATGATAGACTTGAAAATGGCTCGACAAGCCTAAACATAGTAATTATGATGTAGTCATTAAGTTGACCAAATTAAAAATTGGTGTAAAGTGGCTTAAAATAAATAAATTGGAAAGTAATAATATCTTTTTTGTTCAAAAAATAAAGAACATCAAGATACAATTTATATGCTGTATCTTGAATGAATTTATCAGTTTTACTATTATAGACCTATTTTGTAGATTAAAAAGTATTAGTTTTATATATTAAACATTGTCGTTTAATAGTATTATACATTCCATGTGTATAATTCATTATTTTGTTCTGATTTATATCAATTTAACTCATGTACTTGTATTCTTTATGTAGTGAATATATATTATAAATGAGAAAAATGTAGTGTAATACAAGTGGTTATTTTTATTTCTTTTAAATGATGTTTGTAATTTTGTAAAATATATAATAAACTAACTCGTGCAAAAGTTTTATATATTAAATCACAAACACCATAAAAAAAAAAAATAATAATAATAAGATAAGTTAAGCGATGAGAATGTAGTTAAATTAAAATAATATTTATCACCACTATTATTATTTATTCTTACTACTTACTTTATCCTTAATGTACTTTTATTATGTTTCTCTTTGGTTATTTATTTCTGTCTATACTATACACATATCTCTTGTATATCTGATTTATTTCTGTCTTAATGAAAATCCAAAAGTATGGGTAATAAAATAATAATGACTGAATTGCGATTATTTGTTCCACGATATAAATTACAGGCTATCAACTATAATAAAAATATTCTATATCATTAACTATGAGCAAAAGATAATTTTCAAATACTATTAATAAAATGTTAAGATTTTAAATGAAAGTGTGTCAAAATTTAAAAGGACAAATTTGAATAAGACAACCAAGAATGAATTATTAATCATAAACATGAATAATTTAATAGATAGAAAATTAATTATCTGCAAACTTTAAAAACAATTTAAGGAAGCTGTTTTAATTTGAATCAGATATACATTCAGATAATATTAATCTGTGGTTTACAGCTATTTTATTGCAAAGAAAGAATCGGGTAAACTAAATAGAACTCTTTTATTTTTTACTTTTTTTATTTTTAGGCCATTATTCACCAACATTTTATTTATTAGCTATTAATTACGACGTTTCGACCACACAAAGGGCCATTTTCAAGTCTGTAAAATTGTGATATCATTATTAGTTAACATTTACAAAAAGAATTTTTTATTACACATAATTAACTTATCTAACGATCTATGTCATAATATTTTCATTACACATAGATTTATACAAGTCTATACAAAAGTATACTCTTTTTCTTATAAAAACCTTACATGTACGTAACTTTGCTCATTAAAAACAATTGAATATTATCTTAATGAGTCCTGAAGACACCAATTTTAGGAAAAATAAACAGAATAAATAGAACTCTCCACAAAAACACATTTACTTGTTTTCTTCTATTATATTTTACCGTTTATTAAAAAATATATAACAAAACTATTACATATCCATATTTATAAATACAGTTCACTGTCGATATCATGCATTCAAAACTCCATTTCACTCACTCTGTGCACTTATTTACTTATAACACTTATTAGAGATATACATTTATTTGTTTTCTTCTATTATGATTTAACTAATATTTTAAAATACATAAGACAACCATCATGTATTTGTATTTATAAACACAGTTTACTTTTGATACTTAAAGATGCATTCAAAACTCCACTTCACTCATTATGTATGCTTTTAAGAAACTCACAATAAATAATTGAACTAAATTCCGTAATTTCTAATGAAAAAAACCTTTTGAAATAATGTATTACCTAAGACAGGAGAATCAGACTTTAACTTAGGCTATGTAATATCTTAAGATAATATACTACTGGAAGATAATATTTCACAGAATTTAACTTATAAACAAACTATGGAAGATTATGCTGGCCTGTTGCTTAACAATTAAATAAAAAAAAACAATTAAACGAAGTGAAAGCAAAAGTTTTAGTGACCATTTATAAGTTTAAAGGAAGATTGAATAATAATTTTCGTAACTACATAAAGGAAGCAGCACTATGGGAAAAAAACATTTGAATAATAGTTACAACTATCACCCACTTCATACACGTTAGACAAATATGTTTATTTGCTTTCTTCTATTATGGTTTACTGTATATTTAAAAATACATAACAAAACCATTAGATATCAGTAATTATAAACACAGTCCGCTGTTGATATACATGACTCAACAAGTGGTTCATAGTGCTGAATAGAAGCAATAGAAAAATGATAAAAATTGTCAGTAGGATGTACTAATCTTTGAGAATTTAAAAAGGAAATAAAACTTAAATAAATAGTTTACCTGGACTAAATTGTTTATATATTTTTTTCATATTGCATAATGAAAGAAATAAATGGAGATATTTCAGGCATTGAAGGAATTTGCAACTAATTACCAGTGAAGATGATGAAAATCATATGGTAGTATAGATTTAAAAATGTACATTCCTTCATGTACTCAGGATTCCAGATTAATCAAAATAAAAGCTTAGAAGAAGAAATCCAGAGAAGAAGGATTTAAGAAAACCACACTTTTTTTTTTCTCCAAAAAACCTATGAAGTGTTGCGTTACACAAAACCTTAAAATAAAGTATATCCAAAATAATAATCCAACCAGCACTTATATACTACTCAAAATGATGACTTAAAAAAAAAAAAAAGTGCTTTTTAAAAATAAAAGAGAAAACTGGCAATTTATGACTCAACAAGTTCTCCACATTGCTGAATAGAAGCAATAGCAAAATGATAAAAATTGTCAGTAGGATTTACTAATTTTTGAAAATTTAAAAAAGAAATAGAACTTAAATAAATAGTTTACTTGGACTAAATTGTTTGTATATTTTTTTCATATTGCATAATGAAAGAAATAAATGGATATAATATACTTTGCTCACAAGAATATAACAGAAAAATGTTCCCTTTCCACATATTAATTGAACTGATAAACTATTGAACTATAATTGAAACGTTTGTTTTCGTTTTGTCTTAAATATAAGTATAATAATTGAACTTTCAAACTATTTGGAAAGAAATGTCAGTTTTGATTCAGTGTCGTGTGAGTTTGTTCTTGGTCTGCAATATTCTTGTGGATGAGCTATAATGATTAATTTTTATTTATTTACTTATTTTTAAATTTCAGATGCTAGCTGCAAATATCCAGACATGACAACGTATGCAGTCATGCACCAAGGTCTTGGTTGCTACAGCTCTTCATGTCACCTCACCGCGACACCTTTTCCAATTTATGTTAATGATTTTAATGAAATTTACCTTATAGAACAGTACTATTTAAAAGTATGAAAAAAATTCTTCTCATGAAACCAAAGAACTTATATGTTAGTTTTAACTCTCACATTATGGATAACTTTTATCCGAGATCCTTTTTATTCTGTTGAGTCCAAGATTTGTGGTAATAAAATTTTATTTTACAATAATGATTATGGAAAATTCATAAAAGTAATTAATTCTAATAGTGTTATCTTTCATGTTTGTTACCTAAATACAGCAGTGATTTGTGTTAAATAAATAAATACAGATGTTAATGTAATGGGGTTTTGATGAAGAAAAAAACCTAAAATAAAATATAATAAACACATTAAAAAACATTGTGTGCCAAAAGGGATTTTCAATAAAAGATAAAAAGATTTTTACAAAAAGAAAGTGCAATTATCTAGTTTACAGTTTTGTTCTTATCTACTATAATAAATAAAAATGACAATTTGAAATTAAGTTTAAACAACTTTTTTATTTATTTTTTTTATTTTTTAAATAACACATATAACTAATTACTTAAGATTATCAATTCATCCACTATTATTTATGATTTAATTTTTATTATTTATATGAAATAAGTCTTATTTTGTAACAGTGATACTATCACAATCTGAGATTTATTAAAGCAAAAATTTTGATCTATATAATAAACCTTTAGATGTAACACCAGCATACACAATGATATGAGACATCAAAGCAAGAATAGTACTGTTGTTTTTTTCATTATTTCAATTCTTTGAAAAATTAATTTTACATTTCATATAATATTTATGGAGTGGGGAATAAACACATATAATGTAATTATGAATAAATAGAATTTTTATTCAATAAACTGTTATAATCATAACCTTTGTGTTACAATTTTCCATTTTATCGTTCCAATTAAAAGCATGAAGTTAGTTATCCAGTTTTCTTAGGATAAATTGTCTATTTATCAGAAATTTTTAAATATAATATTCATCGCTGTT